TGCTCCACTACTCGCCAATCTAACAAAGATGAGATGATTTTTTTAATAGAATATGACCTACTGCATCCATATATCCTACTTCCTACAATCACGCGCTTTTGAGCAACTCCCTCTTTCTTTCTCTCGAGCTTTACCCATTTTCTCACGTCCCTGATCTCTACTTACCCTGACTTCCCTTCGACTCTAACTCGCTACATCCGTACCCTTCCCTTATCACACTATGGAACCCTTCTAGCCATATGACTGCACCTAGTCATCGGAACAGTTAGGTTCTGTCCAATCGGAGTGGGGAAGAAATATAGCGATGAAGATTTTTAGCGGAATGAAAACACATCTCTTCAAATGTGGAGGAGATGACCTGATTAGCACATGAAGGTAGACGCAGATAAAGAGAACTACCCTCGTCATCTCGACCACACCGAATTAGGCAAACCATAACAAACACAACACCTGGCAGAACAAAATGGCGGGCAACATGCTGCAGCGATCTACAATGAGGAGCGACGTGCCCATTCCACTGCTCACCATACGTGCAAAATAAAAATTGAAAAATGGGAGTGAACCTACCGCCAGACGTCAGCAGATAAGAGTCCAAGATGACCAGCAATTGCCACACGGCCACAAACTCCTAAATCATGGTCAAGAAGACGACCATCATAACATGTGTAAACGACGACTACGACCAACAGCGTCACCCCCCAGCTACTGATTACATTGGATGAGGATGTATCTTGCTCTACATTATCGAAAGATACATTATCGAACTTTCTCCGCTCACCCCAATGCGCAACTTAGTACTATAGCTCAAACCTTCGATCCGCTCAACCCCTCCAATTCACTCGAGATACACCCTGTCTCTATTGCTCTTGAAACAAGAAAAATAAAACTTCCGCTTGGTCATAGGAAGACACACCTCCTCCTAGCAACTCGATCTCTGATTTATTCCGCCTTGCCAGTTCGTCGGCCAAGTTCGTACACCTCCCTCTCCTTCTCTCTTATCAGTCTGTACTTGGTCGGACTAGTCAGCCAAATTCACCCATAATCAATGATGGCCAAAGTATACGTCAACACAACCACCATCGAGATGAAGGTGGGAAGGGAGTGCGATCTCGACCAAGAAGACCACCTGACGAGCATAACTATTACCAGCAGGATCTTCACGATGAGCACGTGCAACCGTACGACCACGACATTGTCAACGAAGCACTGTTTGACGACGAAGACGAGTAATATAATCACAATAGTGACGATCTTACACTTCGAACCCAACAATAATTAAGATCAACGTCACAATAGGACTCCCATCATGACCTGCTGTAAACTACGCTACAATTAGATCAGGTAAGTATATTGAAGAAAAATGAATCTTCCTGTATAATATCGAAATGTGCATGCCACTTGGTCTGCTCACTTGGTGCATTCCTCTTCTATCTTAGAACGTATTTCGTGATTCGCAGAATCTGGCCGCGACCCCGTCCAGGAACTGGGTAACACGCGATAATCAGGGTAACAACGAGTTTTGGATGAAGCTAACCAACGGAGAGGTCTCCCCCAAAAAAAACAAACATAATGAGGAGAAGTTGTGATGATGAACGCCACAACGAGCGCCTAGTCGAGGAGCAACGCCCGGAGCTGCCACGCTCGCTAAATGTCACGTACATAGTAGCAACGTCGCACCTTTCCTCCCTCTTTCTTTTTCCCTTTTCCCTTCCTTCCTTGTCGGACTCGTCAACTCCCTCGCTTCGTTCTCGTTCGTCTCCTATCAGCGCACACATTAGAATAACACTTATTTCTCGAAACTCTACTCCCTCAATCAAAAACTCCTAACTCGCTGGCCGCACTATCTTATAGCGTTGTCGGATGGTCGAAACGCCTTTAAGACAAACTAGGCTCAACGCACGTGCTGCGATCCTATGCCCGATTTATTAGTAATGGACTACCTGATGTTTTGCTCAAGGACCACGCCGATCTTCTCTGTATGTGTCTGTCCTTTAACGGATGTCCCAATGGAGCACGGCCCGAATGTCGGCCTTGAAATATTATTATCGAGCTAACCTGCTTTAGGTCATGCAGGCAACTCATAAATATCTGGTTTTACTTATCTAAGACCACCATCTGAACTCAAATTTCGTTTTATATTTCAACAGCTCATGGTGTACCCACTGAGCTAGGCTTTTGGGTCCCACGCAGGTACAAGAACCGGTACTGGGACACAAACCATAAAAATAAAAATAAAAATAAAATATACTAAAATCAAAATTAAATAAAATAAAATAATAAAAACGGAACTAACGAGGAGAGGAACCTGGTGGTTCCTCTTTTGTCTTACCTGTCAAACCCGCGATCGGACTCTGCGACAAAACTAAGGAGGATAGTCCCGCAGGACCCTCAACCCTTTTCCTCACATGATGCTCTTCCGCTCTTTCGTCGTCGTCTACTGGCCTCTGTCCCTGGATCTGCAGGCTGAAAGTTTGATTGATAACCAATAGTGTTAGGCCCAAGGCTGGGTGTATAAGGCCCAGTCTTGGTTATAAAGACATCCGATTCAGAATTAGGTTTGTCGGACTGCACTTAGAATCACCCTTGGCCCATCGGCCACCTCGCCTGGACATTATGTGGCCGCTTTCATTCCCGGAAGGAGTCATCCTTGCCTGCAGTCACTGCGCATACAAGCATGTAGCACTGTCGCCAAGGATGCTGGCTCCCCCAATCAACTCCCACTTCCAAAAGTGGTACCTTTACCCTTCTAATGTCGGGGAAACGTGGTTTTTATTTATATCACCCCCTTCTTATGTCGATCATTCCAAGGTTGTTGGCGGCTCCTACGGCTGGCCAAAACATGGTCAACGTAGGGACTCACACGCTTTGCATAGCGCTGACCCTAACGCGGTCTCCGGTAAGTCAACGATTCCAATGACTATGTTGGGTGCCGAATGCGAGTCTCGGCACGAAAGCAGATCTAACGCTGGCCAAAACACGGTCAACGTAGGGACTCTCACGCTTTGCATAGCACTGACCCTAACGCTGGCAAAAACGCAATCAACGTAGGGCTTCACACGCTTTGCATACCGCTGGCCCATACAACTAATTCCAGATATAACAAGACGTTCGCTTAAACTCATGCGTGCCCTCGAAGTGCACACCCTAGCACTCCCTGGTCAGATCAAATGCATGTGTCATTCCGAACGCCTAAAAGTTGGTTATGGGCCTTATGGCAGGCAAAAATGGGACACTCTCTCGAATATCGTCAAAAATGCACATTTTGTGAGATGCAAAAATGTGCACAAATTCCCTTGTAAAGGTATTTCGGCCGACAATTTTTTTGGACCCCATTAAGCGACATCCCTGTCGCGCCGAACAATCAAAACTATAAGTACAACAAAATCACATTTGCTTACAAGCAAGTAACTAATCCAATTCACCGGCTCGACTCTGTTCGAGGTATCTCCTCAATCTGCCCCTGTCACGATGTTCCACTGCCAGGGTTCTAACCTCGGTCTCCCATATCCTGACCTCAAAAAATAGGGGATACTATTTTTCGTACTACAGCGTAATATCCGCTTCCAGGTAGCAAGTTGATAATCCTCTCTCTTTGTCATAGATATCCCCAGTTTCTCGTTGGGTGTCCGTTGTCTCGACCCCACGAACGAGTTCAGTACATTGGATGTGGGTCCTAACTAAGACGTCTCTCAAAAGACAGGGGTGCCTTGTCCCCAATTTAACCATATCAATATCCATCATAATAAAATACCCATCATGGAGTCTAATACAGGTACGTTAGGTATCCATCTTGGCCCACCGCAGATCCGTTGATCATGCCGAATTCACGACCCATGGCATTGTTATATGGAGACGGTGCCTTCGTTGGTTGCGCAACGATAAGCAAGTTTTCCTATCTTTGTATCCCGAAGGATTCCGACTCCAAACTTAACCGATGTCAATGACCTTCCCTCAAGCTAGGTCTCTCCGAGTGGCCGACCCTTTAAAACCTAACCTTCGGTGAGCCAAGGGCTAGCTGCCAGGTTACGTCGGTCAGCAGCCAACGGTGGAAGTTACGTCCGAGTGATGCTAAGTATAACCCCTTAGCTCTATTATTCAAATATGTTCCTTATCAAAAAGATTCCTGAAATTTATCAATGCCGATAAAGGATCACTTACCAACTGCCGACGGGACTACGTACAGGGATAATGTCTTCTCTCAAAATTTTCAGCAAAAGTCATTAATCCATAAGGTTGTGACCCTCCCTACTTTCATCATAGTAGGTCAGGCCACATGTCTTAGGAACAACTCTAAAACATTCTCACAAAATTTTATCATAAATGTCACAATATTTCAAAATAATTCCCACAAGCTTTTGTTTTTTTGTCATTTTATGCCTTGATCTTATGCCATCACTTTACAATGTCCAGCATCGTAGCCCCTCTTTTGGGTGCTCTCACAGTATCATTCATATTTGTGGGGATTAACCAACTTTTGGGCACCCCTCTTCTCTCATGGAACCATGCCAAGGACACAAGCGTGGTATCTTACCAAATCACATTTGGACATTCTTTCATCAAACACATAGTGAACCTTCTTTCAGTGTACTCAAAACTTCATCTGTTAATATTGTTATCATGACATGTATGCCTAAGTACAATGGAAAGTTCGACAACTCGAATCATCTTACAGTATGAATACATCACAAAATTCATTCATATTAGGACAAGCTCACAAAACTGAGAGTGATTGTGAAAATCCACACAAACAACACCTGAAATTCATACATGTACATAGGGTTTGGAGCCTTGTAAACACAAAAACTCATGTTGATATCATAAAAAACCACAATTATCATACAAGGTGAAGAAAAAAAAACGCCAGAGTATCAAGAAATCAAACTCCAAACGTTAACTGTGATATATGTCTCACACGCTGCACCCTAAACCAAGGAAACTCAAAACATATATAGAAATGTCATCTAAACACTCCACACCACTAAAAAAAAAAAAAAAAATCAGTGAAGGTTACTTTCAGTGTTATTTCTATATACATCTAGGACTGAAAGTTTCTTGTGACTCGCATACTCAATCACTGATGTATATGAGTCTCATCCAACTCATCCAATCGGATTCCTTCATGTGCTCCTCTATATACAGTCATCCATCAGGATTGAGTGTCAAATTTCTCATATATCATAGCTCTAGACATTTCCGGACCCTGTTAGAAAACACTACTACTAGTCACTCATGACATTTTGTAATTGCCTATACATTTGTGCTCTCACCTCATCACGAGTCTTAGGCACTAAAACTCAATTTCGGTCTCTCCATACCCCTGATGATTTCCTTGTGATCAAGTCATTTGCCTCAGCTTTAAGGCTCTTGGGACACTAAACAGAGCGACATTCGTCCCTCTTACAATAGAAACACTTCTCAATGTTCTTTTGGTTTGTCTTATCTTCTTCATGTGATGGAATAGACAAGGGGGTTGTTGTAGCCACGCTTGTGACCTCCTGCTGAGGAGCCTTAGAAGTAGAAGGATAGGGACCTTTGTCTTCTAACTGTGCCAACCGCGCATCGACTCGTCCCTCTAGCCCAGAGCCCGTAGCATCCTCCTGTCCTGCGATCAGTGACATACGTTATGGAGTGACTGATTCTTGACAATCCTCCAACTCTTTGTTCCCTTCTGCCTCAATCACGGCCTGATCCATGTCCCGCTGGATCTCCTGCATACCCACATACCTACACTCGCTGCCATGATGGGGGTAACATATCCCTCGCCTCAGCAGGATAGTGTGGCTGCCTTACATCCCCCACCATGGGCACCTGCTGGCCTGCTGCAAAAACGGGAGCTTGCCACTCAAACTGTCCAACGTCATATATTTTCTTTGTCAGTACTTCATCAGGTTTCATCATGACCTTATCCAGTAAAGGAATTTACTCTTCCTTTTGTTGTTCAACTCCTTCGTCCCTCTTCTTGCGGTTGAAGAGTTCCTTAGCAGGTTGTCCTTTGATCCCATACCTCTGCACCTCTGTCCAGTCCACCACCACAGTAGGAATTTGTTGTTTAATCTTGGACTCCATGTCCTTCAACCTCCTTTCCCATTCAGCCTCCTTTGCCTGGAATGAAGCCTTTTGGGTCTGGATGTGCATCCTCAACACCTCGTTAATTTTGTTGAGGGTCTGGTTCAGCAACTTCAGAGTTTCATTCTCTGCGCAGATATCCATCATTTCTGTTTTCAAGGTCTCTACCTCTTTTCCTTGCCTCTCCATTTTTTTCTTCAGGCGCCGATTTCTCTTTCCCAATCCACCTTCTGACCATAGGAAGCTTGTGCGACCTTCGTCATCCTTTTTCTAATCTTCTCAACTGAGGTCTTTGCTGTTCCAAAACCTTCCTTCAGAAGGTCCTTCGGGCTCAGCATATCTATGGAGAGTAGCTTAACCCCCATCTCATGATGTTGCCCTGTAGGTTTACCTGCAACCTCCAACAGTCTCTCAAAACTTTCTCAAGCCTCTATGAGTAGGGGAGGATCGTCCTTCTGGACAGTCTTCTTGCCCTCCACTTCCACTGGCCACTTCCCCTGCTGCATCTTGTCTGTCATCTCCACTGGGTTCTTCAACCTAAGTTGGATTTTAATCTCCTTCTCTCTTGCAACTCTCTCAATCTTATCTATTTCTTTCTCTTTTTGTTGGTCTCGTACTAATGGCTCATGAGGCAGATCAGACTCTCTCTCTGGCTTAGGATAGTGATTAGGTATCTGAACATGCTCTGGAAATGACGATGGATCACCTGAGCGTCCTCCCCTCTGTGCTCTTTCAGTCATTTGTTCTTCGTTTTTCTTATGCTTATTAGTCGTGTGCATTTTCTTTCTTTTTCCCTCTCCTCTCGTTCCATGGGGCGTATCATGTCCCACTGCTCGTCCCTCTGCTTCTCTCGGCTCTCTCCTCTTCTTTTCTATCTCCTGTTTTCTGTTTGGCGCTTAGGAGTATACCAGTTTCTCATCAATCGTTTGCAATCACCCCGGTTTGTGACTCGTTTCACGATTGTCATGACAAAAATGAAATGATTTTTCTCAAGAACTGAATGAATCCTCAAACTCTGGACTCGGCCAAAATGTTCTGCTCGTCTGCAAATAGATCATAAGCCCAGAGGAACTCTTCCAAGTTGGAGGAGTCAAAGCGAATAGGCAACCCGTATCTCGCCATAGGTGATGGATGCACCCCCTTCATCTTCCTCTCAAACTCCTGTCAAGTAAATGGTTCCCTGACAAACCTGGTAATCATCTCGGCTCATTCACCACTGTCTCGTACCTCTCTCAGCATCCTGGCCACACCCCCACCGTAGTAATAGGCATAAGCCTCAAAATTGACCATGAACATCTTTACACTCCCTCCATCGAAAATATAAGTCCTGCTCTCCCTAGTGGTTCCCTGTTGTCCCTCATGTCTAGTAGTCCTCAGAAAGGTTTCCACTCGCATTGTCTCGCCCTTCCCTCTTGGTATGGGTGTCAAAGGTATCAAGCCTGCACAACAAGGAAGATACAACAGGAACACATGGGGGTAAGTAGGTCAGATAACCACAATAAGAGACATATAGCCCTCCTATAACTACCTAAATATTTATATATATAATATATATGTATATATATCGTCACAAACAGATATGTATATATATATATATATATGTATACATATATGTATATATATCTGTATATACATAACCCTATTCTTATACATATCTCGACCTTATAGTCTATCATACCATTATAATTTAACACCCCACATTTCTCTCTTTCCACTATACTAAGGTTATCCCTTTATACCTCGAGAGCATTTGACTTGTCAGTTTTATGCTCACTTCATCTCGAGCTACAAACTTCTTCAATTTGGAGCCAGATACTCAGTCCTTTCATGTCGTTCCATTCAATTTCAGGATCTGGTATGCCCCACGTTCGCCGCATCTCGTTATTTTGTACGGTCTCAACCATCATTTATCCAATTTTCTCAATCACTGCTTCTTTGAGGATGAGTCGTACAGTAACACAGTATCTCCCAAATTAGGAGGCTTCTTCCTTACTCCTGCCATTTGATCTACCTAAACCTGTCATTGGTTCGACTGTCAACCACTCTGCTTACTGCTTCTTGAACCGTATCTTCAATGACTCCAATCTGACGTGCCTTTAGATCAAGCAATTCCTTAAATGACAACGTCGTCTCGAGGTATTGCCACCTCCATGTCTTAAGGAAGCTTTCTGTACGAAACGATGCATGTTTGCCATACCATAACGTATGGCAAACATTCGTCTGCGCGAAAAACTTTTTTTATCTCTCATTTTTAAAATTCCTCATCTTCCCTTATGTGGACCACATTCTCTTCCCCATTTTGCCGTACTCCCTCATTTCTAGCAACTTCATCCTCCAACAACGAGTTCGCCAGAACATACATTCCACCTGACAGTCTTTATGCATTTCCATTTGTCGGGGTCCATTCTCCATTGTGACCAAATCCTCTTGTAGCTGGAACTTTTCTGGCAGGGCCAAATCCATCATCCATTCTACTCCTGATATCCCCCAAAAATCTTCCTCTACACATGGTTTAAGGATTTTATCTTGTCGTCGCACATGACCCGGAGGTGCGAGACATACAGGTCGTCTAAAGTAACATGTTGACCTAACGCTAGCAACCAGAAGTTAATGTGAAGTTTTACATCTCCCTTTTTATCAAAAAAACTCATCGACTGGTGGAGTGTCTTCGATTACTCCTTTATTGTTTTTATCCCAGTCGAGGCGACTTAACTCATTGGCTCTATTTTTATTCTCTAGAGTACGCTCTATTTGAAACCAAACATCCAAATGTATGTTAACCATCTGACAATAGTTGGATCCGAAGGAGCGTAATTCTTAAGAGAACCAGCCAGAGCAGTTGGGTTAACTCTTAGCACAAACCGTCTGCTAAAGAGGTACTTCTTGAAAATTTGCAAACAATGAAAAACTGTCAACATCTCACGCTTAAACTGAGAGTAATTTCTCTCAGTTGTGTTAAGCGTTCGACTTTCAAATCTCAAAGGACGTTCTTCTCCTTGACAATCTTTATGAATCAACACACCTTCTAAGGCAGTTGATCCAGCACCAGTCTCCAAAAAAAAAAACCTTGTTAGTGTGGCGGCATGGTCTAGCACCCCCAACACCAAACCCCTTTCCTCAAATTTTTTATTCAGGACTTTGATTACCAATTCTTGTTTATCTCCTCACGTCCAGTCTTGCCCTTCGCGCATAAGTTTTCACAAGTGCTCTGTCTTAGCTCCAAACCCCTTAATAAACACCCTAAAAAATCCACACGTACCAGAAAGCCCCTTACTTTCGTGATTGTCTCAAATACCACTCGAGAATCTTATTGTTCTTCTTAGTATTTGGCCTACGACTCGTTTCGTCGCACACAAACCCTAAAATTGTTGCTCCGTGCATACAATGTATGAATTTTGATCCACTTGTACTAAGGTTATGTTTTTTTACTAAGTCTAGAATCCTGCACAGATCTTGCACCTGATCCTAGACAAATCATCTAATCCCTAACATCACCTCCTGCTTGCTCTTCTCTTTTGACTCTTTTACAGTCAGATCATCAATGTACAACTGTGTAATATGAGGACTCACTGGCCTCGTCGTCCTTACCATATGCCTTTGGACCATGACAACTGTATTTGTTCACCCTTGCGGTGCGACATTCATATGAATCAGACCCCAATGAGTGTGCATCGTCGTCATAGGTCTGTCTGATGGGTAGACAGGAAACTGCCCATAACCAAAATACTGAGCTATAAGTGATATTATAGATCATCTGGCGTAGGCTTCCAAGAGTGCATCAGCGTACGAAAAATCACATGCGTCTCTTACAGTTACAGCATTTAATCGCTGTAAATCCTGTACCCATCGCAAAGTCTCATTTGGTTTGACGAAGCAAAACCAGAGGGATGCATACGATTCACTTGAGTAGTCTGACACATACGTGCGGATTTTCCCATCAAGGTATTTCACCACCTTCTCTTCGTCAGCTGGATTGGGATATCGTGCACCTCGCAAGTTTCATGGTTCGTGTGACACAATATGTATCTGAATCATTGAAATCATGTCAACATCAAGACGCTCATGTTCGTCATCATTGAAGGTATACGTAGAATGTTTTCCTCTTATGGTGTCCACCACTAATTGTTTGTCTTGCGCCGTAAGAAAACCAGACTTTCCTATTATTAGCGCTTCTTCTGTTTCTTCATTGATACGACATGACCCATTTTCTGCACTCTCTCGCATTTCTCGTGTCAATTCTCATTCCCTCTCGTAATGGACCTCTTGCTCCTCAGTCGCGAGCACAAGAGTTGAGCAACATTTTTTATATATCCTTGTGTACTGCCTTTGTGAACCTTGTTTAAGCCTACCCCTAAAAAAGGTCGACTTGCGCTTTGAGGTTCGACTCCTGCCGGTCCTCTTACACTTCCGGACACTCGATATACCAACTCCGCCTCTCCTTCTCCCATCTGTTTCACCACCTTTTCTCTTAGGGTTTGCACAACCTCTTGATCCGTCATCCCATAGGTAGACACTATGTCCATAGCATCGTCTATACTGGTTAGGTTAATAGTCAGTGATTTCTGTTGTTCCTTCCCTTCAAACTCTTCCTTTTCTAACCTCCTTCTCTTCTTCTCTGACTCTTCAACTGTGAAAGATACAGGGTTCAACCGATTCTTTATACTTCGCGGCCTCGTATTATTGCATGTGATAATCTCATAGTTGTCATACATTGGTCGCATAACACGAGGAACATCGTCTCATCATGCTTGTTAAGTATGAGGGTCTTTGCCCGACTTAGGAAAGATCGACCCAATAGGATAGAATGATCAAAGATCAGGCATTATGAAAAAACAACTACTTGGTTTTACCTTGCCAATCTCCAAGACCACGCCCGGCGCGGTCCCCACAAACACAAACCTACTATTCACTCTCATAAGGATTCCGTTATCGGAGCGATAAATTTTCATCCCCAAACGCAAAGTGTGTTCCTTTTTTATGAGGTTCATCCCTGTGTCTGTATCCATCATCGTCGTGCATGTTTTCTCTTTCACTACCACATCCAAGCATCCACATGCGACATACTTCCAATCCATCTTCGTGCCTGTCTCTGCCCATTCCGCTTCTTTGGGAATTATAGCTTCTAAGCGTACGTTACCCACCATCTTCTTGGACAGTCGAGCTTTGAGCTCGTCCCAAAGCCTAGGGGTTGAAGCGAGGACATCCTTCATGTTCATAAGATGATTATGACCCTCAAGGATCATGTCCATCATTTCTTCCATATCATATCCTTCTTCCACTCAGACAATGTATTTATTCTTCTTCCCTTTTAGGAACCTGTCTGTGTTTGTCTTAACACCTTTCTTTTTAGCCCTCTGCTCCTGTCTCAACCTCTCGTCCTCTTCATCCTCATCCCTGGAACCTCGACAACCTCATTTTTCCCACTAGGCTCAGGAATATTTTTTGTTGGCTAATCAAAGTTCACCGGCCCCTTAGCCCTTGTCCTGATTGCCTATGGCGCCCTTCCGGATTTTGACGGTGGCCTAAAAGTCGTCCAAGATCAAGGCGTTGACCCTGCGATTGTCACACTTCACAGGTTCTCCTTTCGCTCTTGGGCCTACACAATTGAGGTATACCAGTGGCACATTTCTTTTTCACTCCTTGACTTCCTCGCACATAGTGGTCAACTTGCATTGGTACCTTTCTATTTTCGCCATCAAATCCTCCATCATTTTCATTATCCTTCGTACCTCAGTCCAACAACCTTCTTCTCCCTCATTGTCCGACTCTACCAGGATGCTCTCCTTCCTTATGGTGTCGACTTTCACCATTTGTTCTACCTTCTCATTCTCTCCTATCTCTTCCACCCTTACGTCATGGCGGGTCTCCTCCTCTTGCCAAATCCGAAATATAGTTGGAGGAGCGGGTACATTGGAGGCATTGACTTTTTGCACGACCTCATTTCTTGTCCCTCCTGCAATCATTGGGTCACTATAGTATCCAAATTTGTCATAGATATCCCCATCATAGTTGGTACTAATCAACCCTTCGTCCTCATCATTGCTCTGGACATGGCAAAACTTAATCATGTGACCCTTCTTCCCATAATGTCAGCAAATTGTGTTCTTTCAATCTACTCATGCTCTTCCGTAACCTCGATTACCTTCTTAGCCACCTTGATTTCCTGATGCATTCCAATCCCCGCTTCCTCCATCGGAGTTACTGCCAGCATTTCCTCTTCCACCTCCTTCGTAATCACCATTTCCTCGTCCTCGTCCCCATCCTTGACCTTGTCCGCGCCCGCCACCTTGATTCCTTTGGGATGCTTGCGGCGCTAGCTACTGGGGCTGGCTTGGCTGCCAGTTTGGTTGACTTGCCTGCTGAGCTTGGGGCCCTGGAAATCCACAAGAAGCTACACTCATAGGAGCCCCTGTATAGGGTCCATACTGTCCACTCACTGCACATGGTGCATAGGGATTATACCGAAGCACAGGGCTCGAAGGCCTGTAGCCTAACCGGTGTCCGTAAGGTGCTTGCCCAGTTCGTGCGCGTCCCATCATCCCAGTCTGGCCATGCAACTCAGGTTGTGGCATCACTATTGCTTGAGGACGTTGGCCTCGTCCTGAGCCTTGTCCTCCTTGGACCATCTTTCTGGCCTTTCTTTGAGTCTTCGTTAGCCTCTGAGGCTTAGGTTCTTCTTCTTCTTCCTCTTCCTCTTTTGGTTCTTCCCTTACTACCACTTTTTTTACCCTCCCCTGGA